CTGTGTGAAAACACTGTCCCTCAGTGAGGCCGGTAAATATTCTCGGAGGTCGGAGAGGCGTCTGAGACGCAGGATCAGATGACACACGATCTGACAGTGTGATTGAATCACGGAGTGAACGAGGGGACACGCGTGAGACCCAGTGAGACAGTGAAAACCCGGCGCGCCGGACCGAGGCTGGGACGTAGTAGTCGAAATAGCGGGGTAGTAGTACTGTAGTAGTTTCGTCAGTACCGGCTCTGACATCTTATCGCAAGCACGTCAGTCTTTGCAGAATAACAAATGCAGTAGCTGACATTATTAATGATTATTATTATCGTTTGTTTCCAGCGACGTGTGCGGGGCGCTGCGTGCCGTCGCCCTACACCCTGGGCGCAGAGGTGCGAGCTGGCGGACAGGCGAAAGTTGTTATTATGTCTGTTATGATGATGATTATTATTAGTGCAACTCGGCGCAAAAGACGTCAAGACGTGCAAACGCGGCGCAAACTGCACAGACCTTGTCGGGGCATATCCCGACCCCGGCACTTGAAAGTTCAGGATGTGGGAGTGACCCCCCGGGACACACGCAGACACACACACCTCCGCTGCCCTGACCCCCGGGCCCCCCAGACTCCTCGCGCACAGGGCGCGGGGAAGACCGTGTCCCCGCGCTGCCTGGCTGACACCCCGGTCCGCACTTACACGCTCGCAGAGTCGCGTCTCGTCCGCAGGCACGGCTGGGGCCGCTCCGCACATCCCTGCGCCGCTACCGCAGAGCCCCTCCGCGGAACATGGTCCTCCAAAACAAACAAGTCGGCAAACACGGAAAATAACACCATCCGACCGACCAACCCCCCAAAAAACTATCTGGAGTCCCTTTTTACACTACAGTCACAAAATGGTGAATGAACCTCGAACAGCTGGCCCGACTAGCCAATCAGAATTCACTGACAGGTACAGTACCCAATGGGAGAGACGGACGGGGCCAGGAGGGAGGGTTCCATTGGCGAAGTCGCCGTGACTGACAGGCGGGGCTGACCAATCGAAGGCGGGAACAAGCTTCATCACGGCCTCGGCCTCAAGTTTACAGTACCCAATCAGAAGACGCGAAGGCTTAGGAACAGCGAGTAGGCGGGAAGAGGGGCGGGATTACAAACTCGGCCGCCAATGGCAGCGGCCAGCGCCCCCCTGCCAGCCCCCCCGAGCGCTGTGCAGGTTTCCCACATTGGAGGAAGCAGGGCTCGCCCTCCGCGCCGCAGTGCACCACGGGAGTTGTAGTCCCACCGCAGCGGCGACTCCCTTCACGGTAACGGTCTTGGCCCTTCCTGGAAAACTACAAAGTCACCCCTGCACTTCCCAGAACTAGATCATTCCACTACAGCCCCGGCTACAGTCAATAGGACTTTAGGGGGGGGGAGGGGATGGGCGACGAAGAAACTTGAAAGCAAAAGTATTTTCTGAAAAAGTTGTGGTGTTGTCGCTGTCTTGTAGTAGGCGGAAGACGGAACGCCGGTGTGATTTCTTGATCTCAACTTTCAGAAATGCTCCCCACCCGTGCGCTCTGTCTCCTCCCTCCTCGTATCTCACTCTGCATATTTGCTGCCCTTGTTTTTAACTAAACTCTCCAGTGCTCCCCTGTCGTCCCTTCACTCAGCAACAGTCCCTCACCTCGCCACTCCCGTCCAATCACGGAGCCCCGTTCAGACTAGCAATGACGTATTCAGACCCTGGCCCCGCCCCCTCGCTCTGTAGCGATCCAGGCGCTCGGGCCTGACGTCACCAAGTCGCCCTCCTATTGGACGAGAGGCAAAAGGGGTCTCGGCCAATGGAGAGGTGCGGCGGTGATGTCATCACGCGTGTTGCCACCAGCTGCACAGGAGGGGCGTGTCTGGAGTAAACTTGTCTCACCCTGTGTTAATTGTGCAGAGACCGACACCGGGAGGAAAAAACTCTTTTTTGCCTTTTCCTGCGTCTGGTACAAATGTTTCTCTGTTTTCTGTCTGTATTTGCTGGATTCAGTGCAGAGAACAGCGACTAAACACACTCCTGGGCTCAAGGGAGTTTTCTACACTGTCCTACACTTCAGTCTGAAGAAAATATCCCACACTGACAGGCTGGAGGAACTGAGTCTCTTTAGTCTGAAAAGAGAGTCCCACACTGACAGGCTGGAGGAACTGAGTCTCTTAAATCTGAAGGGAGGGTCCTGCACTGACAGGCATGAGGAACTGAGGCTCTTATTTTGAAGGGAGTGTCCCACACTGATAGACTGGAGGAACTGAGTCTCTTTAGTCTGAAGGGAGGGTCCCACACTGACAGGCTGGAGGAGCTATAACAATAATAATTGCTTACACTTATATAGCGCTTTTCTGGACACTCCACTCAAAGCACTTTACAGGTAATAGGGACTCCCCTCCACCACCACCAATGTGCAGCCCCACCTGGATGAGCTGAGTCTCTTTAGTCTGAAGGGAGGGTCCCACACTGACAGCCTGAAGGAATTGAGTCTCTTTAGTCTGTGTCCCATTCTGATAGACTGGTATCAGATAGAACCTCAGCAGGAGGTCCACCCTGCTCGAGCTCTGAGCCATGGTTTCACCAACAGCTGGTATCATGAGTTACTGTACCGACCTCTCTGTGCCTAAACCTGATCACACTGGGACTGACTGCACTGTATTGTGCTTTTACCATGATCTCACTGGGCTTTATTACACTGTACTGTGCTTTTACCCTGATCTCACTGGGCTTTACTGCACTGTACGGTGCTTTTACCCCGATCTCACTGGGCTTTACTGCACTGTACTGTGCTTTTACCCCGATCTCACTGTGATTTACTGCACTGTACTTTGCTTTTACCCTGCTCTTATTGTGATTTACTATAGTTTACCGTGCTTTTTGGATTTAGTGCACTCTACTGTTAATTTCTATCTGAGTGATATATTGGTTTGGCTACCTGACAATCAAACAGTGAAGAAAATGACTGAGGCAAAGAACAGCAGAAAGGTGACTCTCTCAAGAGACAGGGGGAGAGTTAGAGGCAGAGGGGTGTGTAGTTACTCTGTTATTGGCAGGGTGCCTCTGTGAGATACTGACCTCTGCCCCCGCCTCTCTCTGTCTCCTGACCCTGCTGTGACCCCTGTCAGCAGTTCACAACACTCCCTCTGTCAATCATGGGCTCAGAGACACCTCTTGCTGGGCAGCGCAGCCACCGGCTAGCAGACTGCCGGGACAGGGAGAGAATGAGGAAGAGGGGGTGCGAGTGCGCGGACGTGTGGCCGCTATGGGGTACTGCTACCGCTGCCGTGTTCAGGGGGCGAACCCGTTTAAAGACTGAAGCGAAGGTACGCGAGCAGCCTGAGACGCAGTACCAGTTACAGCCACGAGATGGCAATATTTCCCAAGAAATATTTCAAAAGGAAAAAGTGAAACAGAATTACATAACAAGTAAAAGAGCGGGACGGTTCTAACACA